CTCTGATCCAGCGTAATTTACAAAGAGCAAAGATAGCAGTTTAAGATTGGACTTCTGGTAGAGTCCAACAACAGTCTCATTCAGAGGATCCTTGTTTTTCACCAGCCAGTTGTTGATATTATAGTCAACAGTTCCAGCGTAGTGCATCAGGGCAAAGTGGGCCTCTGGTCTCCCTTTGACAATTCGGGGCTTCTGGAAGTTACCAGACTTCCCGAGATGGTTGTCATAGAGCTTGGATTTAAAGGTGGCATCAGAGGCTTTGGGGAACATGCACTCCTCTTCAAGGATGGACATGATACCCATGGGCTGAAAGGACAGAAATTAGAATTGCTTTAATAGACCATTACAACAACAACAAATTCACAAACGTGCACAAGTGCAAAATCTTACCTTTTCAATCAGGTCAATACAGGCCTGCAAATCCATTCCAAAATCGATGAAAGTCCATTCAATGCCCTCTTTCTTGTACTCTTCTTGCTCCAGCACAAACATGTGGTGGTTGAAAAACTGTTGCAGTTTTTCATTGGTGAAGTTGATGCACAGCTGCTCAAAGGTGTTCAACTGTAAAGAAGAAACAGGTCAGACTTTCTATCCATTTTATATTGGGAACGAGTTGGTCTAATCAGATAACTCACATCAAAGATCTCAAATCCAGCAATGTCCAGTACACCAATAAAGTACTGGCGAGGCTGTCTGGTCTCCAGTGACTGGTTGATTCTTATCACCATCCACAGGAACATCTTTTCATAAACAGCCTTTGATAGAGCTCCAACAGCGTAGGTCACCTTTGGAATAGGCAACATACATTTGAAATGTAGCATGCAACCTTTATCCCATGCAGAAGTAGCCATATGGAAAACATAATGTGCTCCTTTAATAGTTTTAGAACAGTTTTTTTGTTCTTACTTGAGCAACACTTTGTCCCTTTGTGACCCACTCATTTCCGACTTTGACTCTCGGGTGACAGAGACTTTTGATGAGGTCGGAAGTGTTCAGGCCCATCAGATATGCAACTTTGTCAGCATCTGAAGAAAGAAAGTGAAGGTTATAAAACGGAGGTCTGTTACAAAGGACAGTGTTTGTCTTGGTTGGTTAAGAGCTAACATGCTTCTCTCACCTTCAGTGCCATCAGCCTCTGCCTGCTCCTCTCGCTGCTTGGTCTTGAACTTCATATTTCCATGATGCATGATGGCACCAGTCAGCTTGTACACAGAGTTCTTTTCCTCTTGAGTAAAGCCCAACACATCAAAGGCACTCTGTGGAGTAGTACGTAATATCTTCTTTAGCTTTGATTAAAATGATACCTTCTAAAAGAACAATAAATACTGTTTTGATAACTTTCTAAAGTTTTTAAGTCCTGTCTGAGTATTTTACATTATGCAGTGTTTTGGTGTCTGAGAAGTCTTTAAACACATTGATCTGTTAATCCAACTAGATTTCCTAGATTGTAATTAATTGCATCAACGGTATCATTATGGTTAGAGTTTGACGTCAAATTGTAAAACCGAGGAATGATTATCAGCCTCACATCTGTTGCCTCCAGTTCATCTGCATCAACAATAGAGGCCACTGTGGTTTCCCCCTGAGAGATGAACGGGTAGTCATAGGGATTATTTGTAATCAACAGCATCTCTGGAGGACAAAGAGAGAGGGTGAGACAAGGTCAGACAGATGCAATCAAAGTGCCTTCATTTGGTCTTGGTTTGGTAGTCAACCACCACTGAGAAACAAAGGAACCCCAGCACTAACCCAGGAGTTCAGGCTTCTTGTTGGACAGAATCTGGTAGAAGATGTGGTAATCTCTCTCAGCCTTGAGCTGGAAGACCACACGAGATTTCTCCAGAAGGTCTGAGAAGGGACAAATACAGGAGAGAATATATGGCCATGTGTAAAATCAACTTTATTATTGTTATAAATTATTTATTAAATAATGTTTTCTGCATCACTGTTTAACATATAAGGGTGTTTGTCCTTACATGTTTCAATATCAGCAGAGGCCAACTTTCCCCTGGTATCAAAATGAATTCGAATGAATTTACCCTGAAAGAAAAACATTTGTCCTTTTTAACTACATGATTGCGTTTTCAAGTGAACTGAATACAAACAAGTAATCACAATTTATTCACACAGGGATTAGATACTTACAAATCTGGAAGAATTGTCATTCCTGATGGTCTTGGCATTACCAAAGGCCTC